AGGACACCGAGATATCCACCCACTAGATATTGTTGAACTTATGTGATGAAAAAACATCCAAAGAAAAATTTGCCGGCAACTCGTGACCCCCGCTACAAAGATCACATTTTGAGACTTGCGCATTCGTTCTCGAGCGAGGTGGCTAAGCAGCCACTGCAGATCCACTTCGACAGGATGATTGTGCCGTACTTTGACAGGAACAAAATTGAGATGAACACTTTTGAACAACTTTTCGAGGAAATTTTCTAATGTAAATATCTTCCGGAAGGCACGGGCGTTGATGAGCAGAAAAGCGTACGGTATCTGGGAGTTATCCTGGATAGGCGCCTAAACTTTCAGAAACACTTGAGTCTTGCGATCCAACGAGCGGCTGCGGCGATAAAACGTACGTATCCGCTCATTCTCCACAGAACTCCAATCTCAGTGTTAACAAGTTGCCTATTTACAAACAGGTAATAAGACCAGCTATGTTGTACGCCTGTCATGTATTTTGCAGCCTCAAAAGATCTCCCTCACAGATATTCGAAAGGATGCAGAATAAGGTGCTCCGTATTTGCACGAATAGTGACAGATACATTTCATTGGTCAATCTTGTTAATATAGGCTCCTTTTACTTTGTTGTTTGTTATTTTTTTTATCAAAATACCGTATACATTTTATATTTTATTTTATATTTCCGACTTGATATTACATCTAACTTTCATCCTCTACATCAAGGAACTCAGAACTTAAACTAAAAACTTTATTATTTGTGCAGCCAAAAGCATAATACAAAAATCACCAGTATTAGGCATATTTTAACACACCTCCTTGATTTTTGAATTCAAAACAAATAACAATAATTTAAAATAGAATCATTAATTGCAATCATTCTGTAAACCTAATAAAGATCTGAAAGATTGAAACTTAGTTTTACCAAGTGATTTTGTTAAAATATCTGCTATTTGATGTTCACTCGAAACCTTTTGAACTTACGTCGATGTGCTTAGAGTTTATACAAAATTTGCCATTTTCAGCTAAGGAAATAGCACCAGTGTTGTCTTCATTTATTTTAACTGGACTATTGATATTTATACCAATATCGTTCAAAATACCTTCAAGGGGTAAAATATCTCCTACACAGTTAGCTGGTGCATAATATTCTGCATGTGTTGAGGCCCTAAACAGAATTTTTTGTGTTTGGGATTTCCAAAAAATTACATTTTCAAACACACGAATTATTATACCAGTTGTTAACTTTCTATCAACAATGTCTGAAGCCCAGTCAGCATCTACATAGGCATCAATTATTTCGGTAAAGTAAGTGTCGTAGACTAAATTTAAAAAACAAGTTGATACAAATATTTAAGAACGCGCAATGCATATTTGAAGTGAGTAGGTACTATTGAAACTGTTTTGATATCTGCTTAAGTAGTTAACTGCGTGTGAAATATCTGGGCGTGAACCATTTGCTATATACAACAAAGAGCCTATTAAGTTCTATATTTTAGTTCAATTTCGACTTTATCAGCACAGTCTAATTTCAAGTTTATTTCCATTGGTGTATCATAAATCTTAGAATCATTGATATTATATTTAACAGCTAGACTTTCAATATATTTATTCTTTTTCTATCGTTTTTGGCTCACCATCAAGTAATTGTTTATTACAAATATAATTTAAGTCATTGAAATGTACGTGTCCTAACATACGGTGCCACTTTTCTTTATTAGTCATTACTTTTGAACTAACATTTGATTCAATTTGATAAAAGTGGATTCAAAAATGAAAAATAAGTTTTTCATATGTGTGCCATAGGTCATATTCATTCTGTGATCAACAAATTAAAAAGCTTTCTGCTCAATGTTCAGTTTGTATACTAAATAGTTATTCTTGTGCAACCGGTGTTAAATCTGTCATTGCTCACTTAACAACTAACTCACGCCACACAAATAAAATGATTTCAGTCTTGGTTTTTCTTTCCCCTATGCCCCCTCCCGAGTTGAGTGCCCTGAAGTAGAAGCATCCCCCCCCCAGCTAGTTAGCGAGGAGAACCTACTACCCCACTCCATCCACCCCCGCTCTCTGAGCGGTCCTCAATTTACTGATGGGCACTTCAGCAAGATTGACATCTGACCTCTTTTGGTCGATAGCCAGCCTTTAGATGCTATTCTTTCGCGATCGGTTAAAGTATTTTGTCGTGACTATTCCTGACTGAATTTTTGCATGGGGGGGCCCCAAAAACTAACCGGCGGCTTTTGTTATTAGCGTCGGGCGTTCCTCAGTGAATCTAAGGATAATTGAATCGCGGTCGAGTTCTTCTGCGGTGAACCTGCTGAAAGAGAATTTATCTGATTACTATGCTTACCTGAGTCGCCTGACGGCGACTCGTGGGGGTGGTCGTTGGTTTTGTTTTGTTGGCTTCGGGTGTTTATCCCTTTCTCTGAATCTGGGGTCATCCATATTCAACGCATAGTGTAGATCGCGTAGCGCTGGGTTGTCGTGCGATCTGATTCTATCGAACACGCTTTCTGCGTGTTCTCTCATATACACGTCTACATATTGCGTGTCCAGGTCTAAGTCTCTGTATATAAATCTGTTGGGGATGTAGTACGGTGCGTTTACGGCGACCCTTACGTTCGCGTTCATAAACGAATGTATCTTCTTCCTGTATATCTGAGCGCACTGGCCCCAGGCATACAGTATTATGGGCATGAGAACAGTCTCAATCATCAGCAACTTTACGTTCAAACCCCATGTTGCTTCTGCGTCCTATGATAGGTACCAGGCGTTGTCTGGCGTGTCTGGCCATTCCGATTATCTGCCGTAAGTGAGAATGAAATGTTAATTTCCTGTCTGAGATGACTCCCAGGTATGTCGCTTTGTTGGTCCACGGAATCTCTTGTCCGTTGAAGGTGACGTTGCCTTCAGGTTGTACGAACCTGCGGGTGAACAGTATCGCCTGACTCTTGTTAGCGTTTATACTGATCTTCCACAGGTTGGCCCACTCCTTGCGGGACCCCTGCTTCCAGTAGTCGAATTGTTGATAGTTCGTCTCTTACTCTGCAACGGCATCGCCTGTCAGCTAGAAAAGGCTGAAATAATCTTACCATTGGTTTTGAATATCCGAAATCACTCATATTGGCCAGTAGTCCGTCATGCCAAACTCTGTCGAACGTCTTGGAGACGTCTAAGAAGATAGCTTCGGTGTTGTATCCTTTGCCGAGGTTGAAGCCTTCGGTTGCGAATCCGGGAGGATTCCTAGTTCTATGGTTTGGTCTTCGAGTCTCTTCAAGATGACACGCTCCGCCACTTTGCTTATGGATGGCAGTAAGCTTATTGGCCGGTGGTTCGCTGGAAACAGGTGGTTCTTCTTGGGCTTCGGGATGTGGATAACCGTTGCCTCTTTGAACGGGTACGGGAAGTGCTGCAATCTGAGTATAGCGTTTATGATGTTGATTATGGCTGCTATACCCTTGCGCGGTAGTACTTTCACTGCCTGGTTTGTTATGTTGTCTGGGCCTGGTGCTTTCCGAGTTAGACGTCTTAAGATGTCTTTCACTACCTCGGGAGATGTCGGGGCCAGGGGTTGTGTGTTGTCCGTTTGTTGTCTTAGCCTTCGTTCCGTTCTTTCCACCTGTCTCTCTATTTCGTCTAACTCGTCCGTGAACGGGACGTCGTTCTCTCTGCACTGCCTTTCGAAGTTGTCCGCGAATGCTTCCGCCTTCTCCTGGTCAGTGTAGACGATTCCTTGCTCGCCGTGTATTGGTGGGCATGGCTGTCGAGGTCCGTTCCTGAGTACTTTTTGCACTCTCCATGCAGGCTGGTCTTCAGTGTTCAGTTTTTCTAGACCGGTAGTCCATTGTCTCTCTCGGATAGTTTTTAGTTCTTCTTTCATTACCCTGTTGGCTCTTTACATGCACCTTTTATCCATAGGCGCGCGAGTCCTTTGGTACCGTCTTTTCAGGCGTCTTCTTATCCTGATCAGTTCCATCATTTCTGGTGGGAGCTGTTCTTGGAAGTTGAAGCGTGGGGCTGGGACATCCCGTGCGCTTCTTTCCATCGTTTGGATGATCGCCTGCTGCGCTGGAATCTCGTCCAGTCGATGACTCGCTTTGTTGAGTTGTCTGTTTCCACTTCACCTCTTCCTATTGTGAATAGAATGGGGTTGTGGCCGGACGAACCTTCGTCTAGTACTTCCATCTCGGTAGTTTCAATGGTCTGCACTAATGCGATGTCGAGAATGTCAGGGACTTGATCTTCCCGCGCGTAGTATGTTGGGATGTTCGGTGCTACTACCGTGCTACTACCTCAAATTCTTCTAGGATTCTGCCTCTCGCGACTTTGCATTGAAGTCGCCAATGGCAACTATTGGGTGGTGGTCTGGGAACATTTCTGCCATGTCGGTTCTTTCTAGTCTTATACCTTGCGGGGCCAGGTATACCAGTTTGACTCTGACCGCTACTGCTTCTCCGAATTGGACTTTTAGTTTTCTGTCTTCGTTCTGTGTTAGGTCTGTTTTTACTAGTAGCGCCGCCCCCCAGCGGCGCGGCGCCCCCTGGCATGTCTGTCCTATATACATTGTATCCTGGGATTCGGAAGCTCTTTTCGCTCCTTAACCTTGTCTCCTGCAGTGCCATGACGTCTATGTCTAGACGCGATAGCAGTTCCAGTAGTTCGTTCTGCATGTCTATGGAACCGTTTATGTTCCATGATCCTACTAATAGTTTTTCCGGGACTCGTGCTGGCATTACTGTTGTCCGGGTGCCTGTATTGAGGCAGCTAAGACCGCTTGCGCGATCTTTTGCTGTTCCGTCGTGAGCTTGCTCAGAACTTTGATTAGTTCATTGCCGCTGTCCGATTCCTTTTTTTGTGGAGTTGTCTTTTTGGCAGATGGCTGTTATTGTTGTTGTTGTTTAGGCCTCTGTCTGTCGGCTTCTCTGGGCCTGTTCAATGCTGATGTCCTCGGTCTCGGACCACTTCTTCAGTGGTTGGCCCCTCTGGATTGTTGGTCTGGTTTGTTATCGTTGGCACCGTTTGTTCGATGGTGCCCGTTTCCATATCCTCGCTTGGTTCTTTTTGTGTTTGTTTTGCCGCTTCTTGTTTTGCCGTTTTCGCGGCTTTCTCTTGTGCTTGGCGCTTTCTTGTTTTTTATTTGGCCTAGCTCTTTCTACTAGTACGAATCCGTCTTCCTGCGAGTTGGTGTTCGTTGTGCTGTCCGGGCCGCGTGGCCGCTTGGCTTGGCGCGTTTCTTCTCTGCTTTCGCTGTCGTTTTCCTTATCCTTGGGTTGTTCTGGCTTTTCGGCTTCTTCGGTCTTCGCGCCTGATTGCGCCCTAGACGGTCCTGTGTTCGTCCGTGATCTTTGGACGAGTATACCTTCAACGTGGTTCAGCCTTTCATTTAGTTGTTGTTCATTTAGTTGTTTAGTTGTTGTCAGCTCGTCCTTTTGTTGACGAAGCCTGTGGTTTTCTCTTTCTAGATATTCTAATTTTTCCTCCATTTCCCCCATTGTGGGGCCCTAAAAACCTAAAAGAAAACATAAGAACGAATTCTTTTTTACGTGTGCTTTCGCACACTAAGTTCTGGAAAGAACTAATGTCTCAGTGCTTTGTATAAACGCAGCACTATACGCTTTCAATAGGTCGCACTGAATTATATTCTTATCGCTTCACTACAGGTAACACTTCAAGCTTTCACACTTTGATGTTTACACTTCGGCGTCTCAATCTAAATGTCGGTTTTTCTTTCTTTGCACAAGGCTCTCGAGTTGCATACAGACAATATTCAATAAGAAATGACGGTTGTCTTTTTTTCCCCCCTTTTTTTGGTTGGGATATGTCAAATGATGAAATAATATAAACCTAGTTTCAAAAATTTTATTTATGAGAATAAGATTAAAAAATTATCATTAAAAACATAAAAAATATCCCCTTCCATAATGTCGGTCCACAAAGACCCCTAGATACCAATTTTGAATGAAATCACATAATAATATCAAACCTCAATCGTAATTATAAATATTCATGATTTCTAATCGAAAATTCTTCATATCGGACCTCACAAACCGTACCGCTTATTATCAACTAAACCAACCGCCACTGTTTTATGGTCCAACTTACTTCCCGTAAACAAACAAAGTTATGCTGCCTTCAATGTAAGTATGCAAAAGGTCTCTCTATTGTCTTATGATACTTCGAGGTACTGGTAACATCAGCGGTTGTCGTAGAACTGACAGCAATTTGTAGAGTGGTTGTGTTTCTGAGTACAGATGCTGCCTTAAAAAAATTATTGAAAGAAACATACTGTTGGGTATCGACAATTGTTCCAGAAACGCAAACACCTACTTATTTACAAATTTTTGTCAGTTTTATTCCAATCGCTGATGATACCAAACGCCAACACTAAACGATCAGATCAGACAGACCAAACTTTTAAGTGTTCTGAAGTGTTCTTTGTTCTATGTTATTTGAAACTGGACAATTGACAATAGAAGTGCAGTTTAATTTTTTAGATAATAATAAACTTTATTTTTATATTTTAACATTTCATTATGAAGTATGGAGACTACTGATTTTTCTAAAATTTTTATTTGAAAAACGTAACTATCAGTTCTATGGATTGAGCTTGCATAAACGGTGGCCTTTGAAACTAGTTGCTATAGCATCAGGATTGTTTGTAAATAAGTGTTGACTTATTTCCAAATGTTCCTTTTACTTTGTTGAATTTAGTCAGAAGGTTAGTAATTAGGTGAATAACTTTCACTAATTGCATAATATTATGGAATATACTTGATAAGTGATGCAGTTAACTTGTTCATATTGAAATATTAATATATCTCATTCCTTTCAGGAAGAGGGGGCAGCTATGGATTCGTTCTTCAGTCTCTTTGATCCTAATTCTTACAATGATTGCGCTAGCACAGAAGATTTCGCCTTGGACAATATGAATAATCAAAATTCGCTTCCACCCGAGCCTCAGCTTGGTAATGTCGAGTATAAATTGAAAATTGTCAACCCGACAAAACAGAGATTTGAGCATCTAGTAACTCAGGTGAAGTTAGTTTCATATTAGTTTATTATTGCGATTCACAAAAGTTTATAGTCAAATATAGCTTCTATATCTATTTTTCATTATAGCAAAATTATTTGTGAGGATTCAATGACGGGGCTTTGAACTTTTATATTTGCAATAAATAATGAGAATAGCCACTTTCAAGGGTTTCTCTTCAATCTTGAGCCAGCTACAGTTTTTTTTGGTTGTAAAGCTGCATAGTTCTTGAATATATATTGTCCATTATTTCATCATATGGTGCAATTTTGAATAATGATTGTCAGATCATTTTCTTAAACAGGATTTTATTCGAACCGATACTCAAAGAAATTATACATCCATGGTCAGAGATGATTGTGTCAATGCTGGTTCATTTGTTGGCCATGCTCTGCAGGTTTTATGGCTAACATTTCTTCTACGAAAGCGGTAAACATTGTCAAATACACAACCTGTTGCCTCGGTGCCTTTGATAAAGTCTACCGCAGTTGTAGGCGAAACTTCTGACTTTAAAACTTGCAGACCAGGGCCAACAAACCCAAAAAGTAGCTTTGAGCTATTGTTGGTTATATTGATTGAAAGTTATTTAGGGAAGTATACAAGTAATAACTGACCTTTATGAGTTTCCACTCCATTGAAATCAAAAAACTTTTTGAAATAAAAGAAATGGAAGGCAAATTTAATTTGCCCTTCAGAAATGTTACTGCCTTTGAATAAAACTTGGTTGGGAATGTATCAAACTTGTCAGTAACCATTATTATAAATTTTGCCTATATGCTTCCTTTGGATAATGTATCCACTACCCCTTTTCTTGAAGATCCTTCAAGAAAATTCCTGAAAATTGAAATACATCAATTCCTATCAATGAGTTTTGTAATTCAATGCTAGTTTATTTCAACATTATACAAGCTGTTTCTTTCAGTTATCTTTTTGTTTGGTACTGTCATCAGAATTTTGGTGTTATCCCAATCTATTACAATGTGCACCATCTTATGTGAAAATATACTTTGCTAATTTGCATTTGCTTTAATCTTCGGTTTTTATACTATACTAAGTGAAATTCTCAACAATTAGTGTTCTGTTATTCAATTTCAAAAAATATTGAATTGATGTTTACTCAATTGTTGTGTTCGATTTATAGAAGTTTTTTGAGGATTTGAAGAAAAGAACAGATGTAGTTTCTGGAAATTCATCTAAAAAAATTTTATTTTCATATTTGATGAAATTGGTTGATAGTTGATAAAAAGCCATAACGTATTCAAGTAACACTTTATTGTTAGTTTTCACTGAACAATTTACAAACGACAACACATGCATCACTATACAATAGCAACGATGTTTTCATACTTACTAAATTCTACCTGATTAGTACTTTATATACTATAACAATTTAAATCATGTGACCTTCTACCTACTCAATGAACAATAATTTTACATGTGTTTGCGTATGAACTGATTGAAAATTAAATGGACATGTTATGAACATAAGAAAACACAAGGAAACAGATTTAATAGAGGAAGAAATTCAATTCAGTAAATATTCAGAGTTTTCAAATCTATTAATTTCTAGGCATTCCAAAAGATTGAATTTCAAACCTTTCTCTTTCAAATGTAGCATGTCATAGTTGTGGTTGAGCTCATACACCTCTGCTAGAAGATTTGCTCTTTTATTCTTTGGAAAAAGGTTCTCTCTGTTTGACCAATATAAAGTTTTGGACAAGAACCACAAGTTAACTTATGTACTCCTGATCTATCCGACACTGTAGTTCTGTCTTTATTCACTTAATTCATTATTTGTTCTGTAAGCACTGTCCAAATCTGTCTTTTTCAAAAAACAAGCGATGTTATTCATGCTTTCTAAAAAACAACGAAAAAAAGCTGTTTATCAGATCTCGCCTGCTCCTAAAAACATCAATAAGCGTCAAAGGACATAATAAGCGTCAAAGAACAAAACTTCAGTGTGATAGATCAGGACTATATAATTTGACTTGTGGTTGACTATGACATTTTACATTTGGAAGAGAAACTTTTGAAACTCAATCTTTTGGAATGCTTGGGAATTGATATATTTGAGTGTTAGGAAACACACGTTAAAAGGTAAGACCTCGTTAGTCCTTAGCTCGCACAAGTTTCTCAACTTCTGAGAGTTGTCGTCTGTATGGGGGCGACAACGGATTAACGGAAAAACAGATTTTTTTTTAACAGAGAATTCTGGAAATTTACTGAGTTGGATTCTTTCCCCCTATTATATTCGTTTCTTGGTGTGGAAATTGGTAATTAGTTTTTTACATATCCAACTAATGAGTTTGTAAAATTCCTTTTCTAATTTCTAATCAGTTTATGCCTTATAACTATAAGTCATTAAGTAGGTTATTAGATTAGGTCCAAAGTGAGTGGGTCTATTCAACTCTCCACCACAACTCGTAAGGGTTTATTGTGGCTCGCACCTATTCACATTCGACCAATCTTAACGAAGCCGATTAGTTTGAAGTCATTAAGTAGTTAGAAGGTCATATGATTCAAATATATAGATTCATAGTAAATAAAGCTCTAATTTGGTAAAATTGAGTTAGTATGACACGCCTGAGGAAGCTATTGTATAGTGAAACACATGATATCGTTTTGTAAATTGTTCAGTGAAAATCTTGCAATAAAGTGTTACTTGAATACAGTATATTTTCATTTGAAATTCATATATAAAAAAAATTACAATGAGAAGTGTTACTGATCAGTTGAATAACTTTCTGTCTGCTACAGAATGCACAATTTGAACGAAGTTATTAGTTTGGAATGGAATAGAAATGATAAATTATTCAAACGGGTTCTTGGGAATAATCTTACCTCATCTCGGAGGTATGAGCAATTTTTGCAGATGCTGCATTCCCTGTCACAACACTTGATTTGAGGTTTTCAATGCCCGGCTCATGACAGACGCTCATGTGTTTTTCTCTGACCTTTTTTAACACACTGGGGGGGCGAGTGTAGAGGGGATCTTACTGGTAACAGGAATTGAAAATGCTTCAGCTCGTTTACTGAAATGAATATAAATTACTAAATATTAGATATATACAGAGTTTCTGGAACACTAAATGAATTTGATTTATTACAATTTGATTTATTACAAAAAGTGTTTTTTTCTATGACCATTGAAAAAAGGATTAATTATGTGACCGTTTCTTGTTGATTAAGTAGGCAAAATGATGTATAACTCACACCTTCGAAGTAATTACAGTTTTGGAGGTTCATAACGCAGTACCTTTGAAACCAAACCGGTGTGAAGTTGGCAGCCATTTATCAGTAGTCAGATTACCAGTGGCGTCGGTGAAAAAATAATATGTCATAACATTAATTTCTTATAAGAAAATACAGAAATTTATATGTTAACCACCCCTGAATGATAACCGGACATAACTCCTTTCAAGAAAATACTGCCAGCTTGAAATGCACACGGCGTAGGAATACATCTCGCAAACATTTTATATTATTATCATCGAATTGCAAAGGGAATGATGGGGTATATTCCACTCCCCCAAATAATAGAAGTTCCTTCATGAAAATAGTGTCAGCTTGAAGTTCACAGGGTGTATTGTAACCCACCCCTGAATGATAAAACAAGGCAAAAACCCCTTCAGAAAAATACTATCAGTTTCATCAGTTTGCTAAGAGGATGTGAGGGTGTAATCTACCTCCAAATAATAAAAGTTCCTTCATAAAAATACTGTCAGCTTGAAATTGTGAGTTGGGAGACATGAAGCTCTTCAGGTGATGACTACTGCTTTGAGACTATTCATAGGCCCCTTTCTTCTTTTGGAATGGAAGGTCCTTTGTTGTTCCCAACTAGTGAATAACAAATTGGAATTAACTGTTCAAAACCGGAACTAGTGATCTAGTAAAATTTCTGATCGTCCAATTTACAAGTCAGTTTGCTTCCATCAATCTTTATGATGACAGTGAAAGTATATAGTTCTTTAGAAATATGAGTTACTAAGCATTCATTTCATTTAAAATTGTTGGGCGGCTCCAACATTTTATCAGTACCTTACAATCAACTGTATTTTCTACCAGATTTAAAAAAAAAACAGTTCGTTAGGATAATGATTTTTGACCAAAAGATAATTCAGAGTGAAAATAATTATAATAACACTTTTGATACTAATTATACATTCAACATTTCCCGACTTCCTGTAAATTACATGAAAATTCCATCTTGATTTTGAACCATGAACAAATCAATCTATTGTAGCTAAAATGGAGGTTACGTGAGGGAAACGGAGAAGCCATATATGAAATTGGAGTGGAAGATAGTGGCATCCTAGCTGGATTAACAAAAAGAGACATGAATGCCAGCTTACTAACTTTACAGCAGATGGCAGTCAAGTTAGGAGCAACCACAACCATACTCAGAGAGAGAGTGTTGGACAATGGTCGCACTATTTCTGAAGTGCTAGTTAGGAAAATTCCTGATGATCAGAACAATATTGAAATCCGAGTTGCTGTCCTAGGCAACGCCGATGCTGGCAAATCCACCCTGTTAGGCGTTCTTACCCAAGGAAGTTTGGATAATGGACGTGGCAGAGCAAGATTAAACATGTTCAGACATTTGCACGAAATTCAGAGTGGACGTACCTCATCCATTTCTCATGAGATTCTGGGATTTAACTCTCAGGTAAATTTTCCTGGAAAAAAAATAAGATTTATTTAGCCCAGCTTTTTGAATTCAGGGCCAGACCATCAATTATAGCTACAGCGAGTTGATAACGGCTGAGGAAATCTGTGATTCTTCTACAAAGCTGGTAACCTTCTTGGACCTTGCAGGTCACAAAAAGTATATTCGAACAACAATCCAAGGGCTTTCAGGGTATTCTCCGCATCATGCTATGCTTGTGGTAAGCTAATTGTTTTTATTTGTTCTATGTTGACAAATGAGTTTTTTTGCAAATATGAAATAACTTGAGTTATTTTTTATTGTACTATGAAATCCCTATCCATGATAAACTTGATAGGGTAACAAAACGCCCATGGTAGAGTCACATACGAATATATCACTTAAAAAGTATAAATGTATAGATAGATACATTCAATAACTGATCTTGAAAACTGTTTTATATACAGCAAAAAGTCTATGTCACCAACCTAAGGAGGCTCCAGAGTTGTTATTTAGAGATAAGTTGAAGATTTTATGTTTTTGAAAACATATCTGTCTCTTTATGAGCAACCTTCAAAGTCTTGTACGAGTTGAGAAAAAATGATGGTCTTGAATTGTCTCATGATACTGAACGTGAGATCTAATAACCTGTACACTTCATTTTGTATTCATATTAGTTACATAATATTCAAAGGCCTGGTTAAAATTTAAATTCATGTTTTTCTGGTGACGTATTCTTTCATTTCAGCCCAAACCAACTTGAATGCATTCAGACATGGATAATAATGATACTTTATTCGTATTTCAGGTCATATACATGGTGTTAGGTGTCAAAAAAATAAATAAATTGGGTTTGATTTTGTTTTATGTTTGATTGCCAAATCAAACATAAAACAAATCTGTTTGAAAAAAAATCTGTTTTTCCGTTAATCAGCTGTCGTCCCAATACAAACGACAACTCTCAGAAGTTGAGAAACTTATTTGAGCTAAGGAAGGACTAATGAGGTCTTACCTTTTAACGTATGATTCCTAACATGGAATCCTGGAAACATCTTAATATATTAGGTAATGTTAAAATTAACCCAGTCACGCCCCCCCCCATTTTGAAAGGTTCCGAGCTTTCAAATAAAAAATACAAATGACGCAACTGAGAGTCCAAATTGAGAAAACCCTCTCGATGAGGCCGCTTGAGGTGCTGACCAAGGCGGCATGGGCCATACCATCGAATCCCAGATGAGGCAATCGAGATTTTTTTCACTAAACTAAGGTCAGAGTCTGGAAGCAAGTTGATGGGCGTTCCAATTAAAAAATATGAGGGAGTGAGAGCGGTATAGTCAATAGCATCAGTAGAAGTAGGAGTTATAGGTCTAAAATTTTGAACATTTCAATTTCTGTATCTACCAATATCAGAGATAGATAAATTTGGATATCAAAATCTGCAAAATTGTTTTTCATCAGTCTATGTTGATATTGACACACAAATTCTTGAGAAACCAGTTTATAATGCACTCAGTTTTGTTGATATATTTCAGGGACTAGGTAAATTAAAAAGTAGTCTTGGCTTTGGTCCAGATGGAATGGCATCAATTTAATAAAAAAATGTGATTGCACCCTGAGTACTCCTCTATTTCTTTTATTCAATCTCTCTGTCAATTCTAGTGAATTTCATATGTTCATTACTGATTTCTCAGAAGCATTTAACAGAGTTAAACATGAAATATTACTCGATAAACTTGAATATTTTGGTTTAAGTGGTACCATACAATTATTATGGATTGAAACTTTCTGGAGGATAGAGTTTGGTGGGCAAAAATTAATAATTTTCCTCAATCAATGCTACTTCTGGTGTGCCCAAAGGCAGTCACTGTGGACCATTACTATTCAACATATTCATTATTGATCTTATATCTTGTATCACCGATTCAAAAGGTTTGTTGTTTGTTGACGATTTTGAGCCATACCAAGTAATAGAATCATATGATGACTAACAAAATATATTAAACATATCTCGTCATGAATATTAAAAAGCGACCTTTTCACGATACTGTCGTGTCTTTTCAATAAACTCATTTCTAAGCAATGTAATTGGTTCTAAATTAACTTTGCGGTTGAAAGTCTCAAACGGCGAAGACTGGAGTCCTGAGAACGTGCTTAATAGGAACAACTGGTATACAGATGTGTTGAAAATCGAACATGGAACAGGAACTAGAATTTACTGTGTGGGGAGAAATCTTCATTTCAGTTACCCATTCGGTCAATTGACATCAGTCTGAAATGCATGCAATCTTGCAATGCACACGGCATATTGTTTTGAGGCCAAAACAAAATGAGCATATTAATATTTTAACATACAGCCAGGCTGTCCGTTGGGCACTGATGACCCCAAAAGTAACATCCAAACTGGTCTGGGAATGCCGTTAAAAACTGAGGAAAGTGACAGAGAGAAATAGATTGACTATATACTGGGTGCCACTCCATATTATGGGGCAAGTGGACACACTTCTATGCAGGATGTGTGAAAAGGAAGATGAAACTGTCAGGCATGTCTTATGTGAGTATCCGCAATTATCGTCAATAAGAGAGGATGTGTTCGGCGAGTCTTGGCCTACACCTGCCGATATAAATGAGATGTCTCCTAGTCACCTGTCCACCTTCCTGGAAAGGACAGGACGGACGATGACCTAGGGGGACAACGCCTAGGGAGTATGTACAATGGGTCACATGTGGCCTAAGTGTTGTGGGCCTACAGTCACCCTCTCTACTCTACAGATACTAGGTACCAGGACAGTCAGCCATCGCAGTTAACATCATCAACTTTATATATTGACCCTGAACCAGCTGTGGGGTACCAAAGTGTTTGTTATGCAACTAGATTGAAAAGTGAGTTTATCAGGAACATAAAGAGTACTGGGAAAACATACCCTAGATCACACACGGCAACACCTTTATAAAAGGATCGTCCGAGAAAAGAACTGAAAAACTGCTTCAATAAAGCAGGGATCGAATCTGAACAATTACAGGGCTACTCACTGAACATTGTTCATTGAGGGAATACCTGAACCAAAGAGGACTGTACAATGGAGGCCTTAACTGCAGGCAATGCATGCAACAAAGGGACAGGGACAGTTCATCAAATTTTATGGGAATATGAGACACTGTTTCACAGGAGGCAAATAATTTATAGACCACCCAAATTATGCCCAGAAGAATATGATATACATCCAGCAAGGGATCTGTACAAATTAGTACAGGGTACAAGATTGTTGGATTGAGTGTCATGAAGAAAATGGGAGAAAAACGCAATAAATCCATGAGGCTGCAGTATCTTCCGAAAACTTGGGAGAAATGTACAAGTCAGACGTCTCCCAAGTTGTGGAGAAAGAAATCAGTCTAATGGACTTAGGTTCCTTGAGTATTTTATTACCCCAAAATTTTGTCCATCGAAAACCAACTTTGTGACTTTATGCCGAGATTTTGAAAATATTTTCCTGTAATTAACAACTTAACTAAAAATTATGAGAGAAACAATTCCCACCTTGCACTTGTTCTGTTTTTTTTTAGATCTCAAGCACATCAGGTGCAATTGGTATGGCTTATGAACACTTGGCTATAGCTGTTGCTCTCAATGTTCCATTCTTCATCGTAATTACCAAAATAGATTTGGTACAACCAACGAATACCCTGCAGGGTCTAGAATCGTTCCTGAAACAAGTCGGCAGTCGAAGAGTTCCATTGATAATTAAAAATTTGGATGATGTTATTACAGCTGGAGCAAATCAACTTACCGAAAATGTCGTTCCCATTTTCTGCATCTCCAGTGTCAGTGGAGAAGGGTTGGAGCTGCTCTTAAAGTTCCTCCATGTCCTACCTCCCGGAATAAGCATAAAAGAAAAAGAGCGCTTGGAACAGGTATTAACAAATTTTTATGTGTACTCCCCTTTATATCAAGATACGCTTGTTAAGTAACTGTTTTCAATTTGAACTAGAACACACGCGTCTTCTCCACACAAAAAAGGGGAATATATTTAATTATTGAATCGGAAAAACATACTTGTTTCGATCACAGCTGTGATCATCTTTAGTGCAACAAAAGCCTGAAATTAAAAAAAAAAACATGCACAACGGATTATTTGGCAATAAAAGTTATAAACTCACATGAACAAATTATAGGTTAGCAAAGACAAAATGGAATCGTAGATATCATTTTATTCAAAAGTAAGTACATTTTTAAATTTCGGGAAAATGCCCCACAGTACAAAGAATAATAACATAATCAAAACAAGTAGTTCGCGAACATCAATTTTTATTGAAGGACGCTGATGGCAACAAGAAAAAACTATACAAGATGGAGAAGTCATTCTGTGAAAAGAACAATGAAACGAACATCTATATTAGCTTGGTAAAAGATCGAGTGAAAACAATGGGGAAAGAATCAGTCCAGTCATCACCCGAAGATGATTGTAGATACTAACAATCGAAACGTCGTGAACTAACGTGACTTGGAATCTCTCCACTTTTTATTTTTTATTTTCTTGTCTTTATTTTTGATTTATTCAATTGTTCTATTTTTACTTGTATTTTATTTCACTATTATTTTATTTCAGGTTTATTTTGGTTAATATAATTGTTATTTTCAGCTATTCATTTTCAATTCTTCTTTTTTAGTTGTTTAGTTGTTTCAGGGATTTCAAATCATTTTATATAGTAGACAATGGAAGTCCGAACTAGTGAAATTCATCATGAAACATTGTCAATCACCTTCAAACATAATAATTTGAGTCAGCCCTATTTTAATATCTAAATGATCTACGTTTGATCTCCCTTGTTTGAACAATTATGTTTCACATTTTTCCTGTAATAAATGGAAATCATGTTCTTTCTTTCATCCATGTATTCATCTCATTTAATATTATGTACATTCTATCTTTAGTTTCTATTATATTTTTCCCATCACATATTACTACTAGGTTATTTGTACAGGTCATAAGTTGTATAAGTGATTTTGTGTATATAATAAATGATATGACAGGAGAACCTTGAGATGTACTCATAACCTACCCAATAACCGATTAGAAGTTGATGAAACATCTTTTCACAGTATTGAAAAGATGTTTCATCACTTATCCAACCGTTACATTAACAAACATTTAATTCCACTTCAACCTGTCACTCGCACATACACCATACTTGTATTTTATTTCACTATTATTTTATTTCAGGTTTATTTTGGTTAATATAATTGTTATTTTCAGCCATTCATTTTCAATTCTTCTTTTTTAGTTGTTTAGTTGTTTCAGGGATTTCAAATCATTTTATATAGTAGACAATGGAAGTCCGAACTAGTGAAAATCAAATTATTATATCAACTGGAACAATCACAACACATAATTCAAAATGAGATAAACATATAGTAAATAAAGCAAAAAAGGAAATACATATAATAAAATGTTTATGGCCTGAGAAAAACACATTTAAAATATAAAGCTATACTGTTTAACCCATGTACAAAAAAACATAAACAAACTAGAATAAACGTATGTACAGTAACTAAGAATTATACTAGGATGTATGAAATCCACACCTAGGAATGATATACTTGCCGAATAAGGTGAAATAAATTCAGAAAACAGAATAATAATACCGATAATCAACAATTCATTGTCAGCAAAATTGAATGAACACAAAATTATATGTGAAGCGGAAATAATTGCAATAAATGAAANAAGGAAAATATGTAGTCGGAATATTCTTTGATCTGTCTCGTGTTTTTGATGTGTTGAATTCAATGAATGATTGGTTGGTTTATTTCATTAGTGATGGTGAAAGTATTGTTGAAATTTATGGGGAATTTTCAATTGTGTAGTGATGTATTTTGGAACTCCACTGGAAGTATCCTCTTTCCATTACTTTTTTGGCATACATTGACGGCAAACCATTCATGTCTGCGGATATGACATATCAATAGTTATCACTGGAAGCTCTACCACTGAAGTAATGAAACGAGCATTGAATGGTATTTAACAATTCTTTCTGTACTTGCAATAACAATAATTTCAACAATAACAATAATTGATGACAAATTTATGTGATCAGATCAAATAAACAATGTGTGTAAAAAACTGAATCAATCATATTTTGCTGTAAATAATCGCAAATCCTCACTGAACAGAAGTCCATTACTACTCATTATTATTTTTTAGCTCACTCTGTGATAAGTTATATATTATTGCATGGGGGCAAGCCACTGAAAGTAGAAGTTATTTATCAATCAAAAAATATCAATGCGTCTCATTTTCAATTCAGAATATAGTGAATCATGCAGGACCACATTTAAAGAAAACAAAATATCTACTGTTGTTGCAATCTATATTCTGAAGAATACTTCATCGAATACAACATAAAAACCTTATAGAAAGTCGCAGATGTACATAATTAATTGACACACAATAACAACAAAATTTATACAAAAAGCTTGCATCGCAGCATATATAAAAAGTCACCGGGATGGGCTGGTAGTTATCCCTATAACTTATCACCAAAAGACATTGGCGAAATATTGAACAATAAATTCCAAAAAAGAATCAATTCATATCTATCTGTATTTTGTCTTCTCGATTAATGAATTTATGACAAATGAATGAACGCGAACGACATGTGTTCATTCTAAAAATAATTGGAAACTTTCAACTAATTCTATCATTTCTTCTGTTCTGTTGATAATATTAAGGGAAATTGGCAATCTCTTCAATATCTGATGCTTATCTAATGGATAAATTCCAGAAGCTTTGGAACCTGCCATAACACTTTTTTTGGATTCTCATCACCCGTTTATATAATTGTATAATCCAACCCCAAATTTATCATCAGACGTCCACAGGGTTCTTCACAATCCTCTGTTGTTGTTGTCACTAGTGGCGTTTTCCATGTTACTTACTGCATAATATTTTGTGTAAAAGATATTATATAATTTTTAGCGGGAGAAATAACCATTATTATAACTGACAAATATTATTATTATTTACTGTATCATTTATAAAGGAAGTGTGAGTTGAAAAATTGCTAAATGAATTTCTCAAGGTATTGAGAATAACTTTAATCCCAGTCAAAACTTCACAAGCGCATTGGCATGAAATTTTTGAGTTTCACAGAATGTTTTGTTTCTAGGAACTCCCAGAGTTTCATATTGATGAGAACTTCAAAGCTGGCGATATCGGACAGATTCTAGGAGGTTTACTGACAAAGGGTGTTGTAACAGAAGGAACAAAAATGCTGATTGGACCAATGAAAAACGGCTCTTTCCAAAATGTCACAGTGAAGTCCATCCATCGCAATAGAGTCCCCTGTCGAATGGTACGTGCAGGGCAGAGTGCTGCGATTTGTCTGGAAACTTTCATACCGGGTTTGAGAAATGGCATGGTACTTTTGAGTGAGGAGGGAAACGCCAAAGGGTGTCTTTTCTTCCAGGCAAGCGTATCGGTTCTATACCACGCTACAGCGATATACCCAGGATTCCAAACGACTGTTCACATTGGAAACATTCGTCAGACTGCTGTCGTTATCGGCATATGCTCTTTGAAATGTATCCACACCAATGAGCGTGATTCTGTTCTTTTCAAGTTTAAGCTTTATCCGGAGTACGTTACTGTCGGACAAAGGCTACTTTTTCGGGAAGGTACAGCAAAAGGTGTTGGGGAAATTACACAAATCTTTCCCATTGTCAGTGGATCATAACTTATTTTTTTTCGCATGGTGGCAGAGAATCTGGAATGTTCGTTTCTGTTTTTCAGTTAATCTCAGTATGTGAGAATATTATTAATTTGTTTTCATTCCAGCTCGTTTGCTCCACTACTTACCTTTATTCAATTTACTAGTCCTATTGCAAGACAGTATCTCAATATACAGCTGAACTAAGATATTTCAGCTTCATCACAGGTTTCAGTTGTGTTCATTGTCAATTCTTTTTGAAGTTCATTTTGTGTTTTGTCTGAAGTTTGGTTTCGTTTCATTTAATGTAACGTGTGCATTCAGTTTATTTTGCTCTCTTTCTAGCTCTTGAAAGAGTTGGATGGTTGTGAACCGATTATGACTTATTTTTATTTATTGTGAAATATCTTGGTTTTATTATTGTGTTTTGCAGAAACTGTAAACATTTTGATATAACGTATGTTTGAATCTTACAAGATTTGTATTTCCTTGAAACTGTACAAAATGTAAAGTGTATTTATTTAGAAATTCTACAAAATTAACGAAATTTAGTGCCGTAGCAGTGTTCAAAAGTTTTAGTGTGAAAGTTGCAATTTCATTTGTCTATCGTACTTTGTATATTAACAAAATCTGTGATTATAATTAAGTCAGAGTTTATTCAGAGTTGAAACAGTATTAAGCTAGCTTTATTGCGTTCAGTTTATAAATACTGATTTATTTGACTTTCTTCATGAAAAATGTTGGTACAATATTGAAAAGATCTCTTTACATTTAATAGATTTCATCAAGCCAACGTCTTGTTTGATTATTTTTTTTCAGATTAGAATCACAAATACAGAAGCTCCAAAATGTATGCACCAGAAAAAGTACAAGAATCTATCTGTTACTCAGGTTAAAAAAAATATGAATATATAATAAACTTAGTAATTTGTTTGAAGATACCTTACAATTGAAGATTTACATAAAATATATCAACGAGAACAATATATTTGGGATAACTGCAGGCTATAACTTGTACTTTTCCAAATTTTTAATATTTTTTATCGTCATCCACAGTGCATTGTAGTATCAGAGCCCGATTCCTCGGTTTTTGGGTCATTACCTGGAGTTGAGAACTTAAAGGGGTTCAGAGATGAACTCTGAAAAACAAAGCTATTCTCTTCATTGACAAGCCATTTTTCCCGGCTGGGAGTGGGATAATTGGTCCCTCGAACGCGGTATATTCAGAATCCTTATCGAGTAGGGCCTGCCGAAATCCGTTCATAAAATCCAATGTGAATATTATTGCTCCACTCATTTCTTGCATAATATTCTGGATTGGAGGCAGGAAGGGTGCCTCTGATATGAGTCTGTTGATCTGTGATAATCCAAACAAAACCACAGTTTCCTGCTTTTTTGTTACCAGTACCACAAGTGAATAGAAATGTAATGTACTCCGAGCGATCACACCTACTTCCAGGAGTTTGGAAATTTCGCCGTTTACAATGCCCTACCTAGCTTCCGACATCTTCCCATATCTGGACTGCTGGAAGGGACTCCTTATTCACACGGATCTTGTTAACTGCTGCCTTGGTTTGAGGCTGATGAATAGTTTTCTCGAAAACATCAGGAAACTGTGAATGTTGCCCAGATCCTATCTTAAGTCTCCTCGGAAAATTGAGAATCCTCTTATTACAAAGATATGTATTTCCTGGAATATTTTCTGGTTGCAGAGTCTGCCTTGAAATAAATACAAAAGAGCGGGGCATGGCCAACGTAGATTAAGCCCCGGCCTAGGTCAATACTGGCTTTAGTCTTCCTCAGGGAGGAAAGATGAAAAATAACTTGCTGTTGAAGACGAGTCGGTACTTCAAATTTGACCTGGAACTTACGTTCTTCTGTCTCTACTACTAGTTTAATGTGACCCAAACTTTGACTAATGTTATTCTCAAATCCCATGAACACAGTCGCAGGGTTTGAGAGCCTTATCAAATCCATTCCGGACAACACGCTGAATTGAATAAAGTAACTGGATGCCTCATTATTTATTAGGGCTGATAGGTTTGTGGAATTTATCATGCATGCTATTCTTGGAAGGGACCTTCCATTAGTGGACCCCCTTTTGATAAGGACATTTATCATCAGACGTCCACAGGGTTCTTCACAAAACATTTCCAGAATTATGGCAGTAATCCTCATTTTCAGAGGCCTTCAGCTCTTCACTGCCAGGAACTCCGCCCCTGTCCTGGAGATCTCGTGAGGTCTTCACCATATTATTGTGGCTTTCGCGGCGACTAGTCGACGGCCATTGGAGTGGTAAGGCTCCCCGACCACTCGGACCCGAACCCGACGGTCCAGACTGCGTTCGCTAAAGAGGGCTATAATAAGGTAGATTGTTATAACTACGATTACTACTTTAGTTCTCTTGATTTTGATAGGTATTATTGATACCCAGGTTTCCTGTATCTGGATTGTTTGGAGAATTGATGCTGCGGGGACATAGCCAAGATAACCACAAATCCTCAATGTTGCTAGTGTCCTGAATCAAACTCTATATCTGTCAGCTCCCTACCTCTAAAGAAGCAGCGCAACTTAGGCGACAAGAGCTTCCTCCTGTCTATCAGAAGGTAGGAAGTCTAAATCGCTCAAAGCTATTTTTATTAGCTTGTTGTGTCTGACCGATTGTCACTATTGTGCCAAACATAATAGTGACGCTAGGCGGTCGATCGAATTTTCTTGTATTTCAGTGCTTCCACTTTGTCAGAATTCACTAGGTGCGACATGTGATTGGAAAGGCACCTGCTTTTAGTGGACGCCATTGACTTGTTTCCGAAACCGGACAGGGCCATCCTTGTGAAGGATCAGCAAATCCTAATTGCAGTCCCTGACTAATGAGAGTAGTAAGGAGTGAAATTGAAGACCCCAAATCGCTTACAACATGAAACGAGTTTCCTTTTGCATTTCTAAACGTTTATTGCAAAGTTTCAGAGACCGATTCGTCATTTTTCGGGTCCATACCCAGGTGTCGAGGGAACTCTGAACCCCATAGCTACTTTCTCCATTGAAACAAGCCAATTCTACGCATGTTGCCTCCTTCTGGAGACTCATTTCTGTCTCACGGTGTGTGTAATGACGAGGCGAGCATTGAAACAATCTAATAGTAGAAAGTTCCTCTAGAGTTGTACCCGGCTGGCCGTGAGAGGATCTAGGGGGGCCAAAACTGCCTGCCTCTCCTCGACCAGAGCCGCTGGGTGCTAGTACAGCGGGGGCTCCCGACCGTTATTGGATACTATTTTAGTAAGAGGCCAAAACGAATAAATGAAGTTTCCAAACTATTTATGACGTTCCGCACAACCTAAAAAGTCCCATGTGAGACGTGTACCTCTTTCAATAACTTCGCTCGTTAACTGGGACGGAATGATAATTCGGAAACCCCATAAAATACAACACTGTTCAATATGTAGTGAACAAAACATACATTTAACGTATTCCAGGAAACACTTTATTGTGAGATTTTCACTAAACAGTTTTAAAAAACGCAACACGTGTTTCGCCATACAATGACTCTTTCGGGCGTGGAGTAAAGACACACGAAACACGTGTTGCGTTTTTGTAAAATTGTTTAGTGAAAATCTCACGATAAAGTTGTTTTTGAATACCTACGTTAGTTATGGATCTTCATCGAGTATCGGCCAATTCCATCATATACATTTACATTTGATTGAAAACTGAATTTGCTTCCGAATACTCCACAATATATAGTCTAATGGCAAATTTTCTCCAATGTAATAAATATGTGAATAATCAATTCTTTCCGGAGTTGATTTCGGTGCGGGCATTATGATCGCAATATAAAGTGAAAACGTGTCCAAATATTATACATAGTTAAGGAGCTTTTTGACGCAAAAATGATGGACAATGCTTCTTTATCTATTTGTGAATAGGCTTTTTTAATGTTTAAAAGTGTTCGTAACACATATGCGATGGGACGCGAATCTTTAATTGCATAGGCACTAGCATTACAATTCACAGTGATTGGTAATTTTGGGTCATAGGGGCACAACACTTTGGGAATTATCAAATCTATTTATATCAAGTTGAAACTTTTCCGTTTTTCACCCCAGCTCCACCGAAGGTCTTTTTCTAATGAAACATATAAATCATACAACTCAGCGATAAAATTTTTCACAAATTTGCCATAAAAACTGACCAGACTAAAAATTTTTCAATTCGGTTACGTTATCTGGAGTTGGCGAATTTAAAATCCATCTATTTTGCCTTTCGGAGGGGTAGTGTTCGTCTATGATAGATTGATAGTTTATTTAACCATGATATGTAAACAAATTCCATTTGTCGCAAGTCAAAACAATGGTTGAGGTATATAAACATATGAACAACCAACAAACATTTCAAATGCATTACAAGTAAAATAATAAAAATCAAACACAACTATCACCAGTGGTGACGCAAATGTATATGATAGATACAAACATGATGTAAATAATATGGTAATGTGAGTTGGTGTGGCCAGGTACTCGTTGACACTATAAAAACAATGTTTTGTTAAGACATTTTTGGTAAACCTCTTGAAAATACGTAGATCTTTAACAGTGAGTGGCTATATATTATAAATATTAACATAGAGTGTATTGATCGAGGATTTGTGTGGTTTCAGCCTGTGTGGTCTTAAGAGATTAGCACCTCTAGTGTTATGTTCATGAACCTGTGAATTGGTCAGATGTTCGTTTTTGTGGTTATGAATTTCCAATAGAAATTGATTGATAAAGATAGAGGGTACCGTCATTATGTTAAGTTTTTTGAAAAATCCCAAAAATTCTATTTATTCTTGTAGAAAAGAACACTAATCATCAATCCCAACTCACAACCGTCATTCATGAAGTTTTCCAAAATATTCTGAGGTTTTCAAGATGATATTACAACCATTTCCCGGAAATCAATGTCATCCAACAAAATTGTTATGTTTGTAATAACAGCAAGTGTGTTCAATAATCCTTTGAATTTTTTTTTGATTCATCATCTAATTCAATTTGTGCATGTGCCTGCGATAAGTCAATTTTGTAGCAGGAGGTTGCATATCTTAATGAGGATCTAGAAGTGATTTCGAATTGGGGTGAAATAACCAGGTTCAATTCAATGCCACAAAAACCCAGGAATCGCTTTTCTACAAGAAGATAAATGTCTCCGAACCGGATATATTAATGTCGGGTCAGACAATGCCGCTTTCTGCTTCGATGAGTTTGTTTGGGGTTAAAATGGACACCAATATGTCTTGGCACAATCATGTCGCTGGAATTGCAAAAGCTGCTTCTCAAAAGCTTGGAACACTGTTCCGAACCAGAAAACTGTACACACTTCAGCAACTTTTGATGCTTTATAAAACTCAGATCAGACCTTTGGAGTACTGTTCTCGTGCATGGAGCTCCGCCCCTAAACATACCCTGAAGCTGCTGAATTCCATCCAGAAAAGAGCCATCCACCTGATTTTGGCGACGCGAACATCACTTGCAACCTTGATAGTCTGGAGCATCGAAGAAAGGTTGGAGATTTGTCTCTCTTTCATAGATACTTTCACGGAAAGTGTTCTTGGCACATTTGACTCCACCAAGAGTGATACATATCAGAAATTGTGGCTGCTCATCGTTTTGAGGTTCAACTCATTACACCTCGAACCTCACTGTTTAGAAACTCTTTCATTTGGGGAACCGCGTTTATGTTTAAAAAAAAAAAATCTGTTTTTCCGTTAACCAGCTGTCGCACCCCTACGAACGACAACCCTCAGAAGTAGAAACTTGTGCGAGCTAAGGATTAACGAGGTCTTACCTTTTAACGTGTGATTCCTAACACGGGTTGGACGGTAGCAAGTGAAGATCGATCGTTCAGACTAGGGCTTGAACCACCGACCAACACAGGAGTCAATTCGAGTGAGTGAACAAAGCACCCACGCCGAACCGCTTGGCTACCGACTGACCGTGGACCGTTTATGTGGAATAAACTTCCTGAGAAAGGTTTTCCAAATGGATTTAATCTCCATCGATTCAAGTCCAATGTGAATTACTACTTTCGCACAGGCACCGCTCTTAGAACGGCATAAGAATTTTAATGTGGTGCTTGTGTTTTCCTTGAAAAAAATTCAGCTATAGCTTGATACAATAACATGTATCTGGTAAATTAATTTTTTTCATTGCTAAGACCGTTACGTTAAATTTTTCTAGAATTAAATTATTTTTTTTCCAGGTTCACTTTGCAAAGGCCGGGAATCAAAAATTTATTGTGAATAACTGTCCGCCAGCATCCGTTTTTTTCATATTTTTCGGTCAGACCCTTGTACAATATATTATAATTATTGCCGGTAATAGAAAGCCGATCCGATACCGAAGCCGATCCTCGTAATCTTCCCACTGAATAATCTATTTCATCTAAATCTGTCAAAGATGCATTAATATGAATCATATTCTTGAAGAGCGAATGAAAAGTTTCCCACTGATGTATTTCTCTCGAAAAGTCCGGTACTTCATCGACCATTAGTTGATTGATTGTCGAAAGAAGCTTATAATCTGGTACAAATTCATCATCTATCCCAAACTGGAAAATACAAACCGAACCAATATTTTCATTTTAACGTAATTCAAGGGTCTCTACTGAACAATCTAATAACACCGCTAAAGGTATATCTAATCCAAGCAGTGTTTGTACTGATAACCAATTACTGGAGAACAAGGAAAAACAATTCAAGTTCTTCTAAACATCAATCCGGCTCGAAGGACCAAAATTATGTTCTGTAGTGAATACAATTAACTGAAAAGAAAATATGCCGAATTATAAGTCAGTGGTGATTAAATAAACTTGTGATTGAGACCTATCATTTTTCTAGTCTTGAATATATCAATCTTAACCGCTTGAGGAAAAAATAGTGTTGCAAACCAGGATAGGATCAAGGAGATTTAGAAGCAGTTTAAAGTAACGTCTTTCAAAGAAATAACAATTCATAATTTATCCAATACGACAAACTACCGGCGCGTACCTTGTCTATATATATTTTTTTCAAATTCCATTCCATGCACAACTAATATTTCTGAAAGTACTACAATTCAATTGCGTTGTTCTATATTACAAATCGACAGCGGTGTTGCCGAAACTTAATTTCATTCTTACCAAATATATAAAGGTCTAAAGACTCCATTAATGAAAAATGATAATAATATTAATAAATGATATTATTGAATTTTTAGGGTCATATTATCATATCCCAGTTTCCCCGATGAGGTTTTGTAGCATTCTTGTATTCTTAAAAACTTAACGAACATCAAAATCTCCTTATTTTCAAATTGAATTGAATGAATTTTCAAAAAAGTAGATCAAGCATAGAAGTTACTTTCAGATACAAAATGGAAGAAAATGTTCTTTCGAAACGGCTACTTTCGCATGAACATTGAATTACACGAAAGAAAAAGTACTTTCTAAACAGCTATTTTTTGATGTATTCGAATTATTTGAAATTGTTGAAATAAATTATTTCAGGTATCCATATCTGAAGCCAATACAAGTAAAAAATGATATCTTTGTATATTGCCATATACAAAGATAACATGTAGGTATTACATACGTACTGTTATTGCATGATTTATCCGATTCGCAATAAAATTCAAATATTTCAACTTATTTGTGATAGCCATTTCATCCGCAAACATTCTGCGAAATTCGGGTAAGCAAAGATCTCCCTAAGAGAAATATTGTTGGAATCTTAGGAATGGAGTAGTGGAGAAAAATAATAAATTAGAGGTTATTTCTCGAGATGCTTTCCAAAATTGTTGATACTGTGAATGTTACTTTTGACGTCTGTTTGGAATGAGTAATTCTGGGATGAGAAAACCCGGAAAATAGTTTCAACATAATTCTGTTTTTTCTACATCTATATCGCTAATATCTGTGGAATAATAGGTCTCCAGTATCTTTTCTCTTACACTCGAAAGTATACATTTGGCAACCCTGGCAAAAATGAAGTTTCTCGATTTTGACAGCTCTTGGATGTCAAATGTTAACTGGAAACTATTCCATCCATTATTAAACGTAAACGTCAACAATTAGATATGTACCCTGAAGATGAATCGTAGTGAGGGATTTGTTAAAAGAAGGAATGTAACGCGCGAGAACAGTGAGGGATTAAAAGAACAAAATGAGGAAAAAAAGTTGAGTCGAGAAGAAGAAGTCGACGATGGAGATTCTAAAGAAACTAGGCTGACGTTGATGGAAGAGGTGTTATTGCTAGGACTCAAAGATAAGGAAGGTTACACATCATTTTGGAATGATTGCATTTCCAGCGGATTGAGGGGATGCATTCTAATAGAACTGGGGCTGAGAGGGCGGGTGGAACTCGAAAAAGTTGGCATGAGAAGGAGAAGTTTGTTGGCAAGAAAACTTATTGTCAAAAGTGATACCCCGGTAGGAGATGTGCTTTTGGATGAGGCTTTGAAACATCTAAAAGAAACAGATCCAGCCGAAACAGTTCAAAGTTGGATTGAATACTTGAGTGGTGAGACTTGGAATCCGTTGAAGTTGAGATATCAGTTGAAAAATGTACGAGAAAGATTAGCTAAAAACCTAGTTGAAAAAGGTGTATTAACTACAGAGAAGCAAAATTTTTTATTTTTTGATATGACTACACACCCTCTGACCGATAATGTTACGAAAAGTCGTTTGATAAAGAAGATCCAGGATGCGGTTCTTGCAAAGTGGGTAAATAATCCTCAGCAGATGGACAAAAGAATGCTAGCACTCATATTTCTGGCACATGCTAGTGATGTACTAGAAAACGCTTTCGCACCACTTAATGATGATGATTACGAGTTAGCTACTAAGAGAGTAAGAAAACTTCTTGATTTAAATTTTGAAGAGGAAGCCAATAAACCCAATACATCTGATGTTTTGTGGGCCGTTTTTGCTGCTTTCACAAAGTAAATTAACTATAATAATTGTAACATGCCCTATAGGACATGAATAATCATTTTGTAAATTGATATAGTTCAAGATATGATTTTTGCATAATACGTGAGTGTTAAATGTACAGTCACAGTATACCATAATGTATTGAATTGAGTGACTACAAAAATTCGGCTGTATTATGCATGTTTTTTTAAACTGTGATAGGCTTTATTGAGGTAATCACAAACTTTCCAGTTACTTCATTTTCTACAATACAATGTGGTTTCCAGTCATTTTGAAACAGTTGAAAAGATTGTTCTTCACAAATATGAGGAGATATTTCATCAATATTAATTTTCCAAGATATCTCATTTCAGTTCATAGAGGTGACATCTATGAAGTTAGTAAATTCAACAACAATTCTGAGAGTTTTGATAGGACATCATGATATAGTCATTTACTGACAATTTCGTGGTATTTTTTACAAAATCTTTTGTTCCTGTGGACGACAATCTCTAGCCATTTTCAGTATTGTAAGCTTGCTTCAAATCACAACTAATATTAGTAGATATTCTGATTCTGTCCATTCTTTCTTCTATAGACAACTATGAAACATACATCCAAATTCGTTTGATATCTCAAAAACTTAATTAGCTTTAGTATTGATGCAAAATATGGACTACTGAGTGGCTGCTCCAGGCTAAAGCACAGTATATGCAAATTGATATTTTGTTGAACATGCAAGAAAAAGATGGAAAAGGAGGAGATACTGTGTTTTGATTATGATATATATCCAATGATGAATGGACTGGCTCTGGAAATGTGTTTGAACACTATATGTCAAATGTGCATAAATTTCTTTTTTCGTTTTCATGCCAGATTTGGAGGTCACGTGGAGCAGCCCAGTAGGCTCTTACTACCACATGTCATCATAATCCTCATATAATGTGATGAACAAAGTAGAATGTTTCTGTTTTTGTTGAGGTTTCAGGGGACTATTTAGTTGAACTCTTGTATAGGTCGACCTTTGGGCGAAGTTTATTGCCTTCTTTATATATATATATATAAAATATATTACATATACCAAAGAGTTTAATTAAATAGTTCGCTATTATTAACTGCAACCTGCGGCATAAAATATTGAAATATTTTGTAAATGGCTTATGAAAGCCTTCGAAATAGATAGTGATAGTACAATATTCTTAGCGAATTAAAAAAAATACTGTATTGTATAAGACTTGGCTTGCCACATTTGCCGTTTACAAAGTATTTCCGTCTGCTAACTCCAGCCGCCAGCTCATTGGAAAATGTGAAAATATAATTTTGTATCAGTTTACTTTACTCAGTGGATTTTCAATTCAAAAATGGTTTGGGCCTACACTCACAAAAATCATTCTTTGTATTAGTATTTAAGTAAGTAACAGAAACTTATGTTTAGCTAGATGTCATATAGGTAATAAAATGTTGAAAAATATTGACTGTGAAATTGATATATTTATATTTGACATACATATTGCATATTGGTCAGCCCGGTATATGAACGGGGCGTTGGTCCACCCAGCACTTCCCAAATATATTTTGGTATATACTTTTCAGTGATATGATTTTATTAATAGGCCCATCAGAGGGGTAGATTTTTTCTGAAAATAAAAATTTTACATATCCTTTAAACCTTTGTCAGCCCCATGCTGTTGGTCAGCCCATAGTTATACAAATCGCTATATGAAGAGCATCTTGGTCAGCCCTACAATGCTGCCACATCGAAGGGCTGACCAGGAACGCGATCCATTTCAGTGTATCATTGGATTTCATCGTGAGGGTATCAAGTGTTTTTAAAATCCTGGCAAATCCAGTTTTTCAGAGGTAAACTATGTGTTAGTTTACCGGAAAAANAAAACTGAAGGGTCTTACTTATTTATGACCATGTTTATTTAGGATAATGATTGTGCATTCCTACGTGCGCCGTAATCTTATATTAATGGATTTTAACAATGCCCTCGAATAGGTCTGGGGTGTGAAGATAAAAATATGATAAGAATATAACTAGTCAGTCGTTCTTATGTGTCTAAAGTAGAAGCACTGAAATATACTCTAGTGTTCTCCTATTAATTGTGTTTTATCCAACCACTGATGAACTGTGTAATAATTCAATAGAGTGCACCCCACATCCTGAGCCTTCTTTGGGTTTTGAGCCGTCTGTATATATGCGTATTGCATATGTAGCATCCGACTCTGTGTTCTGTTTTATTTGTATTTTGTAGGGTTTATTAAACAAAAACCTGGGTTCAATTGCATCACTGGTTGCCTGCAGCAATAGTTGCTCAGCCTCAGTTGACCCATCCCTACTTAGAGGTTTACACCAGTCGTGCGCAATCGTAACATGGCCATTAACGCAATCTCCTGTGATGTTTAAACAAGCCAATAGTTGTATTTGATATACTTTTTGGATGGCCGTTGGTTGTAGAACTTTCGGGGGGGATCAATCCCCCTTGATCCCCCCCTGGCTACGGCCTTGAGTATTAACTAGCGGGTCTCCTCGAATATTTCATCTGTTTAAAATCAAATGAAGTGAATTATAAAGTGAAAAGTGCATCAAAGACATCAGCATATCGGACTCTATCATATGCGTACTTATCTTTCAAATTGTTCAGGTGGGTCATCCCCATTCCATTTTGAAAGGTAAATTATTAGAAAATTTAATTAATTTCAACGTACGATCTATCGAGTTGTCGACTAGTCTACGAGTACCATAGCTGCCATCTGTGCCTCACTAGTTAGTAAAGTTTATCAGTTCGCAGGGGAGATGTCGAGTTCCTATTCGATGTCGCAATCTCAGTTTCAAAGGGACTTCGATCCAAGAAAGTGGAATCCATGACAGAGGGAAATGTCAATCTGATTATTCAACAAATAATTCTCAATGCAAAGGTTGCACAATTACAAGAAACATTCAATATAGCACTGACAAACGTATAACGATCAACTCAAATAAAATTCTAAAAATAGATCAAAGGGTTGATTTTCTCGAACAATACACCAGAAGATGTAACCTTAGAATATATAGTCTTAATCTAAGGCCTGAACAAAATTTGGAAGAAACCCTTCATGAGTTCTTGACCAATAAACTTAAAATAAAAAACTCTATAACCTCTGATATTGAAAGCACATTCAAAATATCTGATAAGGTTGTATTGGTGAAGTTTTCCTCATACCAAATGAAGCAAAAGCAGTATTCAAAAT